TGTGTGTTGGCTTGTGTGTGTGTTGGCTTGCGAGTGTGTGTGTGTGTGTGTGTGCGCGCGTGTGCGTGCGCGCACGCGCGGGCGTGTGGCTGTGGTTTTGCTGGCGTTGGGACCGCGCCGTTGCCATGGTGGGGTGGTGACGGGTGGGAGTGTGGGGAGAGGGCGTCGCCTGTGGCTGTCTGTGGCTGTGATGGTGTGGCGGTGGCATGCTGGGAGCGCTCCAGGCGAGGGAGGGATGAGGCCACAGGGGCCAGCGCAGGGCCTGAGCGGCCGCCTGCGAGCGCATGCCCGCCGCCTGCCACACCCCGGGCCCCAGCGGCGCCTGGCGCTCCCGTGCTGCGCCTGCTGGCCCGGTCTCACGCCTGCCCGCGCCTGCCTGCCCTCGCAGGGGCCCCCATGCGGCAGTGGACCGGCTACATTGACGCGGAGCGGTGAGGACAGGCGTGGGCAGGGGCTGGGGGATGTCTTGCGGGGTTCCTGTTTCCTTTGTGTGCTGGGGTGTCTTGTGGGGGCTAGGGGGTGTCTTGTGGGGTGACTAGGCACGCTTGCGGGCCGCCGCTCGTGCGCTCCCACGGCTGCACCTGCTTCCTGCTCCCACGGCCGCTCACGCGCGCGCCCACCCGCCCGCCCGCCCGCCTGCCTCCCGCGCTGCCGCGCCCCGCCCGCTTGCTGACCGCGCCGCCCTGCCTCTCCTCTGCCTGCTCACGCCTAGCCTCTCACCCGCCACCCGCCTGCCTGCCTGCCTGCCTGCCCGCCCGCGCTGCCCCGCCCCGCCTGCCAGGCTGACCGAGGAGCTGCTTCCCTTTTTGGAGCACGACATTCACGACCCAGACGCCTCTCGCCTGGCACGCCGCTCACGCTCCTCCCGCAGAGACCTGGCCCCGCAGGTGCCGCCCCCACACCCCTGCCGCCGCCTTGCACTGCCTGCCGGTGCCTGCTGGTGGCAGGACCTGCTGGCGGCAGGGCAGGCCCCCCCCTGCCTGCCTGCTGGTGGCTGCGCATGCGTGGTGCATGGTGGCTTGTTGTGTGTGGTGTGGTGCGGGTGTGGGTGGGGCGCCGGTGTGCACACCGCTGCGGAGGGCTGCTGCATGGGGCAGCTCCGCTGCCCTGTGCATTGGGCTGCCTTCGCCCCCCTGCCGGCCTCCCAGCCTGAGCCGCCCTGCCCGCCTGCTGCCTGCCCACCTGCCTGCCTGCCTGCCTGCCTGCCTGCCTGCCTGCCGCCCTTACAGCAGCAGGCGCAGCAGGCGCAGCAGGCGCAGCAGGCGCAGCAGGGTCCCAGGGCGATGGATGAGGATGAGGAGCTGCAGCGTGCGCTAGAGATGAGCATGGCTGGCGGCGGCGGCGGCGGCGCCGTGCTGGGCAGCGGCTTTCCCAGCGGCGCCGCAAGCTCCGGCTTTGGCACGGGTGGGCTGGTGGGGCGTGGAGGGGCGGGCCGGGCGGCGTGGGGTCTGCGCAGCCTGTGGTGCCAGCCTGCGGCTGCTTGTGTGCGGGGCTGCGGCGCGTGCTGGGGCAGCCAGGCCACCCGCCTGTGCGCTCCGCACCCAGCCCGACGAGTGCTTTCCCGGCTTGCTTGCTTGCTGCTGCCGCAGACATTGAGGAGGAGGAAGAGGAGGTGGAGGAGGAGGCCCCGGCGGCGGCTGGCGGCGCGGCGTTGCCTGCAGCGCGCCCGGCCGCAGAGGTGCAGGCGGAGGCGGCGGCACGCCTGCCGCAGGAGCCTTCCGACGGCAGCGGCTGCAGGATAGGTGCGCTTGCGGTGCTGCCGGGGGCGGGCTGGGGCAGGCTGTGGGATCTCCTGCAGGGCCACGGCGTGCCGGCAGCGGGCAGCGGCCGCCTGGGCCGGTGCCCGCCGGCCTTCGGCAGCCCCCCCGGTGCTGCCGTCGCCGCTGCCGGCTGCCCCAGCGCGCCCGCACCCCACACCCACGTCACGGCCTCGCCTCCCTTCCCTGCTCCCCTCCCTTGCCTGCCGCGCAGCGGTGCGCCTGCCAGACGGGCGCCGCGCCCAGCGCCGCTTCCCGGCCGGTACCGCTCTGGCCGCCGTCTACGACTTCTGCCTGTCGCAGAGCGAGGAGGCGGGGGGCGGGCGCAGGTTCAGCCTGTCGCAGGGGTTCCCAGGTGGGGGGCCAGCACCCCCGCCCCGTGCGCTGCCTGCCGCGCCGCGCCCTCGCCCTGCCCCGCCGCGTCGTTCCCTCCCGCCTCCTGCTGCCAGCACAGGCCGAGGACGCCGAGGACGCAGCCTCCCTCCCTGCCCCGCCACGCCCCGAACATAACCGCCACCGCTGTGTTTGTTTCTTGTGTGGCTGCAGGCGCGCCAGCGTTGGACGATCAGCAGCAGACGGTGGAGGCTGCGGGCCTGAATGGCGCCATGCTGGTGCTCAAGTGGCAGGACTGACGGGAGGGTGCAGCGGGCGGCAGCCGGGCTGCCGCCTGAGGGACAGCCCAACAGACTTTTTCGCTTTGTAGCCATAGCCGCGCTTACACTTGTAGTTCTGAACAGGTCAACACTCAAGGCGAGGGTCGGCGCAGCCGTGCTGGGCAGGGGCAGCAGCTGGCAGCAGCGGCAGCACCGGGCTGGCAGATTGTGTGTGTGGTTCCTTGTTTGGGTTGGTGTTGAATAACACCGATTGTTTTTGGGGGTTGTTTTTGGAGTTTGTGGTGGAAGGGTCAGGGTCAGTCAGTCGGTGGTCGGTCAGTCGCGTCAGAGAGTCAGGACGCCGCCGGCTGGCCTGGCTGCTTACACCTTCTTGGGGGCAGCGGGCGCCTTCTTGGGGGCAGCCTTCTTGGGGGCAGCCTTCTTGGCGGCAGGCTTCTTGGCGGCAGGCTTCTTGGTTGCCGTCTTCTTCACGCCAGTGGCCTTTTGTTGGGGAGCAAGCGTGGCGGGCAAGCAGCAGAAGCAACGTCAAGCAACAGTCACCCAGCAGTCACCCTTTCTCCTTCCTCTCTTGCCCTCGGCTGGCTGTTGAAGCGCTTTGCCGCGCTCGCTTGCTGCCCGCCTCGCACCTTGGGGGTCTTTGCCTTCTTGGCGGCGGGCTTCTTGGCAGCAGCGGGCTTCTTGGCAGCCGGCTTCTTCTGCAGGGAGAGCGGCGGAGGGGAGGGTGTGGTGGGCGGGCCGGTGTGGCGGGCACGGTGCTGGCGGGTTTGGCGTCGCCACTGGCTGCTGCGTTGCTGCCGGGCAGGCCCAGCTGGTCAGTGCTTACCTTGACCACCTTCTTGGGCTTCTTGGGCTCCTTCTGCGTTCCACAGGCAGGCAGCAGGCAGCACAGTTGTTGAGCGGCGGCGATGGCGCAGGCAGCGGCAGCTGTTCGCACTCAAAAAACCGGCTGCCTGCCCTCCCGCCTGCAGGCCTTCGGCCTCGCCGATCCAAGTCCGCCTCACCTTCAGGGCCTCGCTCAGCTTGAAGCTGGCCTTGACCTTCACCAGCTTGCCAGAGGCTGCCAGCCGCTTCAGCTGCTGGCTGAGGGTCTTCTCAAAGCCGGCAGGCACCTTGTAGTTGGTGCCGATGTACTTGCCGATGGCCTTGGAGGAGGAGCCCGTGCGCTCCTTCAGGGCCTTGATCGCGGCGGCCACCATGGTGACATAGGGGGGGTGGGCGGGGGGAGCCTTGTCGCCGGCCATGGTTGCTGGGTGTGACGGTAGCAGGATCGGGCAGAGAGGGGGGGTAACCTGAGCGTGGCGGGGCGGGGTGTGAAGTAGGGACAGCTGAGCTGTCGACGGTTGGAAAGTTTGAAGCCAGGCAACAGCCGGCGAAGGGCGGGCCCCGGATTGGGCTGCACCTCCGCCAAACCGCCCCCTGGCGGCTGCACATGCCTGTGGGCAGGTGCTGGGCCCAATTTGGGTGGGGAAGGGGCCTGCAAGCCGGGGGATGGCCGGCCCCGCCCTGCCGCCGCCACTCCCGCCCGCCCTGCAGCAGCGCCGCAGGCGGTGGGCTCCTTGGCCAGTGCAGCGCTGCATGTACAATTCAGGGCGCTGCTTCAAGCGGAGTGGAGTGTCACTGCAACTCTTCAGAATGCCCTCCACTTCCAACGGGGGCCTCAAACTGTTGCGGCGGCGCCCAGCACCCCACCGCTGCCCCGCCTCAAAAACACGCTCACCGCCGCATCGTCCGGGTGCCTGTTCTCAGTCCACCCGAGGCAGCCTGCCACTTTGAGTTGATAACTAGACTGAAACCGTGTGTGATGGCTGCTGGGAAGGTTGGGGGCTGCTGGGAAAGGCCTGGGGCTGGGTTTGGCGGGGGTGCTGGGCGCGGAGTGCCCGCCCCCCTTCCTCGGTGCTAAGCAAGCACACGGCACGCGCGTTTGCAATCAGGAAACGAAGCAGCATGGCCCAATGAGCCACAAAGTGATTCAAGGAATTGCTGCCTGCCTGCCTCAACAACATGTGGCTGCTTTGACTACCAGCTCTGGGCGGCGGTGGCGGCACCGCCGCCAGCAGTGGTTGTGCCTCCCCCAACCGCACGCTCGATAGCTGAGGCAGGCGCAGAAGCAGGCCACGACTGGCAGATCCTGCTGGAAGCTGCTGGAAGCTGGTGGGACGACCCGGGTGGGTTGCGGAAACGCACACCCACCGCCCGCCCACGGGGCTCCGCCCTTGCCCCCAACCGGCGTTCAAGGCCGGCGCGCCGAGCTGTGATGTGCACGCGCCACCTGCTATAATCAGATGACACGTGCAGGGTGTTGCAGACAGGGTGGGGGTAGGCTGAGAGAGGCCGGCATGAGACGGCCACCGCCCGCCAGACCGCGCCAGCCGACGTTCGAACCACGCCCCGCCCTCGCATGCATGCACACTCAAGCTATAGCTGATAGCCCCACCAGAGGCTCTACTGTGCCTCAGAACGCTTGTAACAGAGTGTGAATGGTGCAGACGCTGTCCCACCCTTTCCTGCCCTGTTGCGCTGCCGGGTGGATGCCGCCAAAGTGGCGGCGGCGGCGAGCTTCGACGCACATGCCATACCCGCCGCCAACGCCACCTCCACATCAGGTTGCCGGGCCATGTGCCCAGCAGTTAAGGTATAAAACATTGTTTAAAATCGCTGTGCACCTGCCAGGCGCACACCTCCTGGCAACGAGGGCAACGCGGCCGGCTGCTCATGCAAAGAGGGCGCGCCCGAAGCCGCACGTGCATGTCGAGATGGTGCGGGCCGGCACCTGTCATCTGGCCCGTGCGTCCCTGAAAAATAGCACTTGAGGTGCTGAACTGACGGAGTAAGTGCAGACACAGCTTTGCTGTGGCGGCGGGACCGGGGGAGAGGAGCGGCTGACGGGCCGCCACGGCGGTGTGCTTCCGCCCGCCGCCAAGGCGGGTCGCCACGCCGCCGGCGGGAGGCTCGGCAGCCTGGCGGGCCTCCCAGGGGGCTGCATCCAACCGCACACCTCGCATTATCTGCCGCAAGCAGCCCGGGATCGCTGGTGGGATCTCCTGGGGCTCCAGGTCGCGCCCAGTGCTGAGCCTGCTGGGGTGCTGTGTTGGCAGTTGGTCTGGAAAGAACACTTGTGCCTCGCGCCCACCGCCCCGCCACCACTTCCCGCCTGCTGCTCCCTTGCCCACCCAACACAGACCCACAGAACCGACATGGCTCCCAAGGTGAGGCCCCGCCGACAGCTGCTGCCCGCCGCGTTTGCTTGCAGGCAGCGGGCGCCCCTGCAGCCCGTGCAGCACGCCCTGCGCTGCTGCTTGCGCCAGCCAGCCAGCAGGCAGCGCGGGCGCAGCGGCCACTGCAGCCCATGACAGGCAGCGGCTGGGCGCCAGCACCATGTCAACAACGAGTGCTGGGGAGCGCGGCGCTGGGGCTGTCGCCCGCCTCTGGTGGAGGCAGGAGGCATGAGGACGTTGGCAGGGGCCGAGAAAGGCAGTCTGCCCTGATCCCGCGGGATCTTGAATCTGCGCCCGGCGCTCGGCGTCCATCTGCTGCACCACCCCCTTGATAGCCCTCCTGCCCTCCCTCCCGTGCCCCCGACACAGGCTGCCGCCCCCAAGAAGAGCCCGGCCAAGAAGCCGGCTGCTCCCAAGGCCAAGAAGCCCGCGGCCAAGCCCAAGGCTGCACCCAAGCCCAAGGCCGCCGCCAAGCCCAAGGCTGCCACCCCCAAGGCACGCTCCCCTGCCAGCCTGCTTGCCGGTGGTGACGCCCTGGCCAGGATAGCACGCAGCAAGCTGCTGGGGGAATGTGCCAGCTTGGGGCGAGGCAGAGGCTTGTGCCCGCCCGGCCGCCGCCACCGGGCGTCCCGCCAGCCGACTTCATCGCAACCGCCACAGCTCACCTCGTGCACCCTTGCCTCCCCGCTTCCTGCTGCAGGTGAAGAAGACCACCACCACCAAGAAGGCGGCGCCCAAGAAGGTGGGCTGCCTGCCTGGCCTGGGGAGCAGCAGCGCCGGCGCGCCGCCTTTGCCGTGCCGTATAACAACCACCGCCGCCAGTCGGGAGGGGCCATGCAGCGCAGCCTGCGGTGCTGGCACGCGTGCTTGCCTGCCCTGCCCGTGCTCACTCTCTCCTGCGCTGCCCTGCCTCCGCAGACCGTGGCCAAGAAGGCCACCCCCGCCAAGAAGGCCGCGCCCAAGAAGCCCGCCGCCAAGAAGGCGAGTGGGCCGCCGCCGCTCCCCATGCTTGCGGCCCGCCCTTCCAGCCCTTGCAGCCCGCCGCCCAGCGGCGTCTTGCCTTCACCGGCCCGCCAGCCCCGCTCACACCAGCCCTGCCTCCCTGCCTGCTGCCCGCGTGCAGCCCGCTGCCAAGAAGCCCGCCGCCAAGAAGCCCGCCCCCAAGAAGCCCGCCCCCAAGAAGGCGTGAGCCAGCCGCCCAGCCCCGCACAGAGACCATGCGCCCAGCGCAGCCGCCTGAGCGCCCGACTGACCGACTCCGCCTGACGGTGCCTCCCCACCGCACCGCTTCTACCCGCACCCCCACCCACTCGCTCGACCGACCGACCGGCCCGCCAGCCACACTGGCGGCCTCGCCACCGTGGCTGAGTTCGTGTGCCTTTTCCTCTGACTCCCACACACGCACCGCACCTGACTGCCCTCGACCTCCCCCCATGCATCTGTATCAGTAGGGAAACCACGTTCATCCCTCCTTGCATGCGTGCTTGTACCACCGGCAACGGCGGCCTCGCATGCCGGACATGCACCCCAACCCCCCTCCTCCTTTTGCATCGCCCGTTTTCTCTCTACCCTGGTGTCTGCGTCCCTTCCCACACGATACACATGTCGCTTTCAGCATTGGAACGCACTGATTCAATGTAAACGCAGCTCGGCAGAAAGCGCTCCACGGGAAGCAGGCTGGGGCGGCGGGGCGCGAGCGCGTCGGGAGGGAGCGAGCGCTGCTGTGGCTGCGCTGGGCGTGGCCTTCCGCAATGTGGCTTGCCATCTTCTTGTTGTGGTGGTGTTTCAGGGGGCCTACCTGCTGCAGAGCAGCGGTGACGTGGCGGTGACAAGCTCAGCCTAGGTTTGAAACATGGCTCTTATGCTCTGCCTCTACATTCTCGCAGCCTTGGACGAGCCAGGCACAGCCACCAGCCGCACCTAGGTTCTCGTGACTGCCACACTTCCTCTGCTCTGTCCTGCTGGCTGCTGCTCCCTCTCAACAGGCCCCTGCCCTTGCCGGAAGCACGCACGAGGAAAGCAGGCTGGTGCGGCTACTCCTCACCCGCCGCCCTTGGACACTGCCGCTCTCAACCATGACTGCCGCTCGTCGTGCAATGAGCTTGATGGCAGTAGGGGATTTGGCCGTGCGGCGCTACGACAAGCAGTGGGTGCAGGCAGCACTCAACCAGCCCTGCTCACTCATCGAAGGGACAGCGAAGGATGAACGATGCTGCACAGGGCAGCATTCCTGCACAGCACAGGAAGACAGCGTATTTTGCTGCACCGAGGCAGGCAGCACGGGGGAGGGCGCAGCAACTTCAAGACTCCAAGAGCCAGCACTCAGCAGCAAGCAGCAGACCGCGGCAGCAAGAAGCTCAATTCTGCACCTCAGCCGCCAATGTCACCCGCCGAATGTGGGACCTGGTGGTTCAGCATCCAGCAGCCCGTAGCAGCCCGCAGCAGCCAGCGGCAGCAAGGTGCACAATTCGGCGCCTCAGGCGCCCGATTCGGCACCTCAGCCGCCGAATGCTGCGCCTCAGGCGCCTGATTCTGCACCTCAGCCGCCGAATGTGGGACCTGGTGGTTCAGCATCCAGCAGCCCGCGGAAGCCAGCGGCAGCCAGCGGCAGCAAGGTGCACGATTCGGCGCCTCAGGCGCCGGATTCGGCACCTCAGCCGCCGAATGCTGCGCCTCAGGCGCCTGATTCTGCACCTCAGCCGCCGAATGTGGGACCTGGTGGTTCAGCATCCAGCAGCCCGCAGCAGCCCGCGGCAGCCAGCGGCAGCAAGGTGCCCGATTCGGCGCCTCAGGCGCCCGATTCGGCACCTCAGCCGCCGAATGCTGCGCCTCAGGCGCCTGATTCTGCACCTCAGCCGCCGAATGTGGGACCTGGTGGTTCAGCATCCAGCAGCCCGTAGCAGCCCGCGGCAGCCAGCGGCAGCAAGGTGCACAATTCGGCGCCTCAGCCGCCCGATTCGGCACCTCAGCCGCCGGATGCTGCGCCTCAGGCGCCTGATTCTGCACCTTAGCTGCCGAATGTGGGACCTGGTGGTTCAGCATCCAGCAGCCCGCAGCAGCCCGCGGCAGCCAGCGGCAGCAAGGTGCCCGATTCGGCGCCTCAGGCGCCCGATTCGGCACCTCAGCCGCCGAATGCTGCGCCTCAGGCGCCCCATTCGGCACCTCAGCCGCCGAATGTGGGACCTGGTGGTTCAGCATCCAGCAGCCCGCAGCAGCCAGCGGCAGCCAGCGGCAGCAAGGTGCACAATTCGGCGCCTCAGGCGCCCCATTCGGCACCTCAGCCGCCGAATGTGGGACCTGGTGGTTCAGCATCCAGCAGCCCGCGGCAGCCAGCGGCAGCAAGGTGCACAATTCGGCGCCTCAGGCCCCCGATTCGGCACCTCAGCCGCCGAATGCTGCGCCTCAGGCGCTTGATTCTGCACCTCAGCCGCCGAATGTGGGACCTGGTGGTTCAGCATCCAGCAGCCCGCAGCAGCCAGCGGCAGCCAGCGGCAGCAAGGTGCCCGATTCGGCACCTCAGGCGCCCGATTCGGCACATCAGCCGCCGAATGCTGCGCCTCAGGTGCCTGATTCTGCACCTCAGCCGCCGAATGTGGGACCTGGTGGTTCAGCATCCAGCAGCCCGCAGCAGCCAGCGGCAGCCAGCGGCAGCAAGGTGCCCGATTCGGCGCCTCAGGCGCCCGATTCGGCACCTCAGCCGCCGAATGCTGCGCCTCAGGCGCCTGATTCTGCACCTCAGCCGCCGAATGTGGGACCTGGTGGTTCAGCATCCAGCAGCCCGCAGCAGCCCGCGGCAGCCAGCGGCAGCAAGGTGCCCGATTCGGCACGTCAGGCGCCCGATTCGGCACCTCAGCCGCCGAATGCTGCGCCTCAGGTGCCTGATTCTGCACCTCAGCCGCCGAATGTGGGACCTGGTGGTTCAGCATCCAGCAGCCCGTAGCAGCCCGCGGCAGCCAGCGGCAGCAAGGTGCACAATTCGGCGCCTCAGCCGCCCGATTCGGCACCTCAGCCGCCGGATGCTGCGCCTCAGGCGCCTGATTCTGCACCTTAGCTGCCGAATGTGGGACCTGGTGGTTCAGCATCCAGCAGCCCGCGGCAGCCAGCGGCAGCCAGCGGCAGCAAGGTGCCCGATTCGGCGCCTCAGGCGCCCCATTCGGCACCTCAGCCGCCGAATGCTGCGCCTCAGGCGCCTGATTCTGCACCTCAGCCGCCGAATGTGGGACCTGGTGGTTCAGCGTCCAGCAGCCCGCGGAAGCCAGCGGCAGCAAGGTGCCCGATTCGGCGCCTCAGGCGCCCGATTCGGCACCTCAGCCGCCGAATGCTGCGCCTCAGGCGCCTGATTCTGCACCTCAGCCGCCGAATGTGGGACCTGGTGGTTCAGCATCCAGCAGCCCGCAGCAGCCAGCGGCAGCCAGCGGCAGCAAGGTGCCCGATTCGGCACCTCAGGCGCCCGATTCGGCACCTCAGCCGCCGAATGCTGCGCCTCAGGTGCCTGATTCTGCACCTCAGCCGCCGAATGTGGGACCTGGTGGTTCAGCATCCAGCAGCCTGTAGCAGCCCGCGGCAGCCAGCGGCAGCAAGGTGCACGATTCGGCGCCTCAGCCGCCCGATTCGGCACCTCAGCCGCCGGATGCTGCGCCTCAGGCGCCTGATTCTGCACCTTAGCCGCCGAATGTGGGACCTGGTGGTTCAGCATCCAGCAGCCCGTAGCAGCCCGCGGCAGCCAGCGGCCGGATT